TAAAGAATGCGAAATCTGCGTCAAAATCATGTCCGTGGAAGACAGGAAAAATCGAGCAATTGAACACAAATCGAAGCACTGCGCGTAGACAAGTCCGATTAATTGCGCTGAAAAGGCCAAGCATGCACTTCCGTCTACTTGACAATCGATGATTCTTGCACAACAGATCCTTGTTGGAATAATTGAGTAATAAAGTTGTATTAGCGTCTTCAGGATAGCTTAAAGGCAGCATAGAGTACTTGAATTTCTTAAAGGGGGTGCATGCTGCGTGACTTACTGAAGTCAAAAGCTGTGAAGTACGTTGATCAATATCTACATTCTTTGAAAAATAATTATTTATATATTTAAACTCTCCACTAACTAGCATTTTTCTAGAAGCATCTAACTGCTCTGTCTATCTTTTGTTTTACATGCAGTGTTAACGTTTGATATACCTCTTTACATGTATTTTGTTTAAGATAAATCTACCGGACCCCCAGGGTCTTTTGTGGAGGCGTCTTTCTTTGGTAGCTCATGGCGCCCAAAAGTTTTTCTTGTTTGTTTTTTTGTTGTTATTTTATTTTGTTGTTTTGTTGTTGTTGTTGTTGTTGTTGTTATTGTTTTCTTTTCTTTGTTGTTGGGTTTGTTTGTTGTTGTTTTGTTGGGAAGGGGGGTAGGGAGGGGGGCTGTTCATGTGAGAATCTCGAAAGGACTCGATGGGCTGGCAATGTCGAATGAATGTCTGATTTCCGAATCCCAAAGACAGTGTTCTATTCTGACCTGTCCTTAGGGAAGCGTCAGGTTGACTCTCAAAAAAGTGCTACCCTGAAAACGTCTCTGAAGGACATCAACATAAATCCTTCGACATTGGAGTGCCTAGCTCCTGGCAGACCTCTGACACCATTTCTTTGAACAAAACGTCATACCAAATCAAACGTTAATTTCATTCAATTGGAATACGTCTTTCTTCAAGTAAACATTTATGGAATGCCATTGCTTAGAATGAAAATGACTATTCTGTTTCTTTAGACTTACTGAATGGTTATCTGAATGCTTAGCCTAAGAGTACATTTATCACTGCTCATAACAGAAACATTAAGAAGTAAAACCAATTTGTTTTTTTTTCAGGAAACATGTCAAAGTCCATGGTAATTATTCCAATAGTTGACATGCAAACTCTCTAAAGAAAAGAGCACCAAACGGATAGTTAGCCAAAGAGGAAATTTAAAATGGAAACAAACAAGAACGCTACAGCTAACTCTCAAACAGATTTTGCTATCGAATGACGTCACATGAAGTGTGTCGAATCATTCGATTTCGACAGCGTTGCATTGTGGGCACACACTGTAATACAAACATTGGTCTTCTACATAATAAAAAAAACTGTTCAAGAAAATCAATGTTGCATGGGAAAAACTCCATAAACTCAAACTACATACTTCTGGTGCCTTGAAAAGCCGGCATTACATCACCACAAACATCGATTAATTAATTATTTTTTTTACTCTTTACGCCATACCCTTAGATGGTCTGTGCGTTTGGCAGCATTTCACTCTGAAAATTCAACTGAACCCGTTTTGTTCTTCTCAATCTACATTTCGAAACTTCCTTTCCTCCATACCCTCCCCCGCCCCCTCCTTCTTTATATTATGTTTACCATGAAAGCGCCCTCCTTCACTCAACTCACCCCTTGCCAAGCCCTTCAAATAACGGTGAATAAATTATCTTAAATAAAAGTTTATACTCTCTTCATTTTTCTTCCGAGTTCCTTAAATTGTTCATCCTTTTTAAGTCCCATCAAGCTAAGTAAAGTTAAAATCTTCATGAAGATTTCTGTCTCTCTAATGGTGAATACTTACAAGAATTGTTAATATATGTATTTACGTTTAGGATTTTAGCAAATTAATGGGTCTGAAAAAGAATTATGTCACCTTAAGGTTGTTTGGAGGAGAGTTTAGGACCCAGATCAAAACAAAAAATACTCTGCAAAAAACGAAAGCAAAATCCTGCTGGAATGAAACTTGACGTACTTCCAAGTATGGGTACTTTCAAGGAGGTAATCATAATATGTAAGGTCCTTGGGTAAATTGTAAAGGCCATAACTCGAATTTAAAGCTATCCGGTCATTTCATTCCAATTCTACGTAGTAGTCTCCCCTGACGTGCATCATGCTAAAGAAAAACCTCTATTTTTTAATTTTTAGATGTGAATTTTAATTAAAAGTGGTATTACTGTTACGTTTGTTTGTTGCTTGTTTTTTATACTTTAAATACCGGTAAAACATGCAGTTGCTTGGGATGTGGGAGGGGGGGGGGATGGGGGCTATAGTGAATATTACCGTTTATTTAATATTTTTAATGTTCTAACATGTGTGTGTGTGTGGGTGTGTGTGTGTGTGTGTGTGTGTGTGTGTATGTGTGTGTGTGTGTGTGTGTGTGTGTGTGTGTGTGTGTGTGTTGTTTTTGTTGTTGTTGTTGTTGTTGTTGTTGTTGTTGTTGTTGTTGTTGTTGTTGTTGTTGTTGTTTATGTTGGATATGTGTATGTGTGTGTCTTCATGAAAAGAAGGGAGCGGGAGTGAAGAATATTCTTATTATAAAATGTACTTTATCATTCAAAGCGGAAGTAGTGCTTGTGAGGAAGGGCTGTATAGACCACGTGGTCAGACACCTAAAAAAAGAAGAAACTCAAGAAAAGGCACCACATCTTGTTACTTGCTTCTCGCACTAGGCTTCTCCGAAAAAAAAAATATCCAGATACTATGTTTCCAGAAGCAGCATTCTTTCGCCCCGAGAGATTTAAGAAGAAAGAGGGAGAGGGAAGAGGCAAGTTCCTCATCACTACACTGCTTATTTCTTTGGCTGTCCTTTGTCCATCTTTTTTTAATCGTATTTTTTGTATTAATTTATTTTTTGCGAATTTTAGCCCGCGTATCCATCAAACCAGAAACGAGCTAACCATAATATGTCGGCGTCTCGGGAAATCGGTAGTTGAACTGCATAATATGCATAGAACACCAGGGGGAGGGGGGAGGGGGTTGCTTTTTTGGCTTGTATGTGTGTGTGTTTTGTTTGGTTAGTTTGGGGGGGGGGGGGGGGGGTCAGTGAGAGAGAAGTTCGTTTATACGTGAACCCCAAAACGACCCAACTTCTCCAGACAAATGTCATGATGTCATTTACATAACATAGTAGTTGTAGGCATTGACGGGTCAGCAGAAAAAGAAATTAACACAAGTCAGTTAAAGTGTAATAGAAGTCACCTAAAATGCCGAAGGCTCCTAAATGAATAAGCATATCATCCTGAAAGAATTAGAACTAAATCATTTTGACTCCTTTAGTGTAAGGGGAATCATAAAAATTAAGTAAAGATCGTTGGTTGCAGGATAAAGGTGGTTATGTCCAGATTCATTGTGTTTAGAAAAGGGATTTTAGAGCAAACCGTAATGGGCATCTCTTGGACATAGACATAATTATGTCGGGAATTGCGATTTTAGCAAAACTGCTTTGTGTGTCTGTTAAATATTCACAGATATAATGCAGTATTGTTTGAATATCTGAGGCGAAAATGGACATGGTAACTTCTGGTTCTCAGCCCACAAAGTACTTTATTACAACAGTCTGGAAAATAATATTTATAAGAAAACATAATTTCTGGAGAATATGGCAAAGATCGCCCAAAACGAACATGAGGTTAACACACCCTATATCTGGACAACTGAAGACAAGTCGTTATCTTAGAATTACAAAGTTCTGTCTGTCCAGTAGACGTACCTAGTTTTGGGAAATTTGACGTTCAAAATGTTTTAGGTTCACAGCGTCTCAAACGTTTTCGAATGCAATTCTTGGAATATCTTAATAAAGACTCAGAGTAGATCTAATCTTACGACTTTCATAAAGCAGATGGAACATTTGGTTTCAAATCCGATGGTTTTAGTAACATAAATCGGCCAAAAATGTCAGAAATAACGTTGTAAGTCTACGGTAGAGAAGTTATATCAAAGTTAGATTAAAAACGCTGGAAAGAACTATTTCCAGTTTGGCTCTCAGAAAGGCTGCGCTCCGAAAGGACATGCTACTACTGTATAAGAATATATCACGTAATATTGTTGCACAGCGCTGATTTCTTACAACTGTTAAGGGGTCAGGCGATCTTTTCCTTTGGAAACCCAGTTCACCAAGAATGTTAAGCCATGTCGATCGTCCCAATTTTAGATTGACTGCATTGGTGTCTTCCTGGGCAATAGTGGGCCTAAGAAACTATTTATAATGATGCCATACTGCAGTTCATATTGTTCAGAAGAGTGTGTAGTTAGGGCTTAAGATGAGATGCAAAGTTGTCCTACACATTGGAGATAGTATGTATAATACAAGTAGTGTATTTATGATTTCTCCCACTTTATCAAATTGAAATGTTATTTATTTCTGCCCTCCCAAAAAAAGAAACAAACACAACACGTGTGAAACATAAATAAACAAATAAATCAATTAATTAATTAATTGATTTAAAAATTAATTTAAAAATAGATAAATAAATATATTAATACAAAAATAAATACAGGAATACATGAATACGTTAATAAATAAAACAATGAAGGAGTGAACGAATGAATGAATGAAACAAAGCTGAAGAATCGATACAAAAATAGCGAATGCTGGCCACCCTCTTGTCCTTCTGCTCACGTCAGACACTGACCTGTTATCTTTATCCCCACTCACCACTCACCACTCACCAGTATCAGTCACCCCCTCCCTTTCCCATCCCCCACCCCAACTTTTGTTTCAATCCCCCACCCCCACCCCGCACCCTAACCTTTGTTTCAACCCCCTCTTCCTCCCCCTCTTCCTCCCCCTCTCACTCCCCCTTTTCCCCCCTCGGGCGTTAATTTTTCCTTCTTCCTCGTGCCGTGCCATCCGATCCTCTCGGGGTTGGAGAGGAATAATTCTCTCGTGAAAGCAGACACAACCAGTTCCATCGATTGGAACAAATTAAATGTTTGCCCTGACGTCTCGAAGCTTGAGCCGCGAGCCTCCGATACACAGTAACCCGCCGTCAGCAGGCATATACTCATAGTCATAGTCATCGCGAGAAAAGTCAGCTCAGTGGACTTAACGCCGAAGCGTTTGCAATGGTGAGTGACCTGATTTTTATTTGGTTTTAAAATAAATTAAGTTAAAACTGCCCGTCTTAATAATTACTTTTTTGCAATACACAAATTATGCGTTTATCTCTATCTATCTAACTATCTATCTATTTATCTATCTATCTATCTATCTATCTATCTGTCTATCTATCTATCTATCTATCTATCCATCTAACTATCGTTATATCTAAAGATAGTCAAGTGCAAATAAGCTGTATATCAAAACTTCCACTTTTCATAACAATATTGTTTGAACCACTTGTAAAGTGTCAGTACGAAACTCAGCTCTATTTTTAAAAAGAAAGGATTAAGTCCAAAAGTTTTATTATGCATCTTCTTTTAAATCTTACTGAAAATAAGCTATACTGTACCCCAGAACGAACTTTAGCTTTACTAAACGTTCGGTGAAAATGAAATAAGTTCCTCTAGAAAATTGTCAACAGATGTGAGAGTTCAGACACTGCACTTTCGACTTTGAGGTCTCTCCCGCGGTCTATCAAAATAGCACATAAAGATTTAAACTTGTTTTAGATCACAATATTGTGATAAAAGAAAAACAAACTTTATATCATGAACCCTAATACATCCATAATATTATATTATTAACTACTTTACCAGCTAAGTTCATATTTTCGAAAGAGCTTGCCATAAAATCTTATGCAAATTTGTTGAAAAGATGTTGGTGATTTTTCTCACAGAAATAGAAACGAATGGCCTTTTTAGCCGGCTTCTCTTATGAATCTATTATAAGCAATAGATCTCAAGAATGCATACCCACACCTCTGAAGTCGCACTTTAATTTGAAAACATGGAAGCCAGCTATACGCTGCATTCCTTAACAATAAAAAAACAACAAGCAAAAAAACAAAAAACATCAACAACAAAACCAGCTTCACGCAAGGATAAAAACGGAAATATATTTCCCTAAGTACAGAACCTTTAGCAATGCCACCAGTAAAAGACTCACTCGTGCAGTCAGCTAAGCCTCATGACTATGCCACAACATCAATTAATTTTTATCGCAGTTGTAGTACTGTGAAAAAGTTTAAACACAATTCTAGAAACACATTTTTCGAGCGGTGTCCAAAATGAGCTTGTTTGTCTACACAGTTACTTTTTTAATCAGAAGATAATCACATTATATTATTATGCTATCTGGGCCTTTATAAATGTTGTTGAAAAATGAAATAAAGTATCATTCAATTGATTGCGTTTAAATCTAATAACTAGATATATTACACAACCTATTTTTCCAGATACGACAATTTTATATGAAATCTTGAACATAAAAATAATATAAAGTGAATAATTAATAAAACTTATCAGAAATGTGAACATTAAAATTTGATTTTAGCAATCTATATTATTATATCGGCATTCTATAGGCTTTAGCTAACAGTAGGCTATAGAATATTTTTGAAAATAAGGAAACTACAACATGTGTACTGTGCTGAAGTTGTGTAAGATATTTTAGTAAAGAACACATGCTATAGTAAGAGTCCAGGAGCTCTCTGAGAATGTTTCTCTAAGCAAACTCGAACATCCTTGACTGTTCTTCAAAGCTATTCCAGTTTGATCTGTTGGTCTGTGTATGCGGTTTCACACTGACAAATTATACGTGTAACAGGGAGATGCTTTGAAGATGTCTTCTCTTCGTAGACATGTTTTTGTTTTGTTTTTTCAAACTAGATTTTGTCAACAGCCAATACTGTTTCTGTTTTTATGAAATATTATTATCGAGCCGAATCGCTTTTCCCTCTCAAGTGCTCAGAAAGCAATAATAATATGAGTCAAAATCCGGTGGAATCAGGCGCTCATCAATTTTCGGGCAGGAGAAGACATAGGTATCATTATAAAACGTGTTCATTTGTCTTGCTTTCTATGAAAAAAAATCCAGTCTATCTTGCATAGATGTTGAGATATTTACCCTAAAATGAGATAAAAGATAAAATAAAGAAGAAAATGGCAGCCAACGTTTGGCGACTTCCATAGCTTGAGAGACCTAGGACAAGGAAAAATTCTATTTGTTTATGCCTTATCACCTGTTATCAGTGAAGTCTATACAGAATTGTGTTTGGTTTTTTTAAATTGTATATTAATTTCGTTGAACCCTCCCCCCCCCCAAAAAAAAAGCAAAAAAAAACACACACACAACAACAATAATTAAAGTTCGATAAGATTGCCAAATCGTAGTAAAAAAATACCGGTTTATTCTAATCCATTACTTAGGTGAGCACCTGGTATCAACGTGCTGCCTAATATGGGGTGCCTACAACGGATGGGATCGGCCGATCGGGCCGATTGCCTGACTCGATCGCCTCAAAAACAAACGTGTTTGTTTTCAGTTTCAGGAGATCGAGTCGGGCGATCGGCCCGATCCAGCCGTTGTGGGTACCCCGTATTAAATATATTGATGTTTTGAGTGGCCGGTGTCACCTCTCTCGTGCGTAGTGCTTTGACAGGAGACAACCCGGAAGACAACGAAACCGGTTTTATCCCCTTTCAACATCTCATCTCTTCTCTCATTTCCTCTCTGATTATTGTGAGCCGCATTATCTCTTTCCTCTCTTTGTTTCGTCAAGAGGACTTTACAGCATGTTCATGGGTGGAAAGTTTGTTTTGAGGAGGCGTGGTGTGGGTGACGTCAAGCAGGGAACCAAGTGCTGCCGAAGTCGAGAAATAAATAACCGAACTTACTGTTATATTTTAGCGACAATAAACGCAAAATTACTCTACACGATACAAATCACAAGGAACAAACTCTATTATTACTTACTCCATTGTATTTGATAGCAACATACAGTCAATATTGTTCAAGAGAGCCACCCATTGAAGAGGACAAAACTGGCTGTCTTAGACAGGTGAACATGTTGAACAGCGTCATTGTAATATTAAAAACACCCTTGGGAAAGTGGGAACTGATCATGTCTTCGACAGGTGGTTGTTTGTGCAGCTTCTTTGTACAGATGATTGTCTTATAAAGGTGGCTGTAGGTGTAGATTCCATTGAATTTTCCCTTGTCGCGTAACCTATTTCTACCGTACAAAAGTCAGGATGTGTTAGCCGTTTAGCCCCTGAGTCACGCACTGATGGCGTTCTTAACTCGTTGTGGTCACGAAAGTGATAGGATCTGAAGGCCTCGAAGGGTACCTGTCAAGTACTTGGAGTTAAAGTAACGTCTACGTTATCAAATAACATCCATGCTACTTTGAGTGCAGATCGAAAAAAATAAACCGTCTGAAATTACTTAAATCAAGAATTGTATCAATGCTGAGGTTTGGGTTAATTCTGTTTCGCCTTTCAGTTGCCCTTTTCCCCGTCCAGACAAATCAATGCCCATGATATTATTCTTTACTTTCCAAGACAATTTTAGAACCCGATTCCATTGGCTACAGAGCTTATAAATAGCCACATGGCGTGATAGCCACATGGCGTGATAATCATCATTATTACCATCATCATCGTCAACAACATATTACACAACAACAACAACAAAAACCAAAACCAGCAACAGCAGCAACAAAAGCAACAGCAGCAGCAACAACAACAACAACAGCAGCAACAACAATAACAGCAATAACAACAGCAGCAACGACAACAACAACAGCAACAACAACAAAAGAGCAACAGCAAAAACGATAATAAAATAGTACCAGTAGTTCCAAAAATGACAACGACAAACACGGCAACCACTGCAACAACAACAACAACAACAACCACAACAACAACAACAACAACAACAACAACAACAACATAGCAACAAAAAATTGTACCCACAACAACACCAACAGCAACTATAAAAACAACACCCAGCCGCAACAAGTACAGCTACAACAACAGCAACATCAACAACAAACAACAACAGCAACAACAGCAACAACAACAACAACAACAACAGAAAAGCATCAAGAAAAAAAACAGCAATGGCAAAAAAGCATCTAATTACAATAACAACGACAGCAGCAGCAGCAGCAGCAGCAGCAGCAGCAGCAGCAGTGGGAAAATCAGCATCAAACTGCAACAACAACAACGACAAAACAGCACCCAGCAGCAGCAAAAACAACAGCAACAACAATAACAAAAGCATCAACAACAACAACAACAACAACAACAACAACAACAGCAACAACAACAACAACAACAACAGCAACAACAACAACTAAAATAACAGCACCCAGCAACAACAACAACAACGAAAAACACACTATAAACCTTCCGCATACTCTCAAAATAGCCTCCAAACAAGTAACATAAAACCGCAAAGCAGTCAGCAGTTCTCAGCAAAACGGTCTCAAAATAAAATTGTCCGTTTCTATAGAAACGGTGTGTTTGGAGTATGGTCTGCGAGAACTAATTAGAAAACAGACAACTATTGAAAAGGTAGCGCGTCATACCTAGAGACTGAAAGGACAAATTGTTTTGTGGAAAAAATTCGATAAGTCGAAAATGGAAGACAAAGAAGAGACAAAAGAGAAAAGCAGGGACAGGGGGTGGTTACATAGGAAAGAGAAGAGTTGATTCTGTGCCTACGTGTATGTGTATGCACGTCTCTGTGTTTTGCTGGGTGTGTTTGTGCATGTGTAAGTGAGTGTGTGTGTGGGGGAGGGGGGGTGGAGGAAGGTGAGTGAGTGTGTGTGTGTTTTGTGCTTGTGAGTGTTTGAGACATATATATAAATGTGTGTGTGTGTGTGTGTGTGTGTGTGTGTGTGTATGTGTGTATGCGTGTGTGTATGTGTGTGTATGT